AACCATATGAGGCTTAAGAATGCCTAAATGGGCATGGGGATGCAATTATGTTCACAAGTGTTAGTCAAAAAAAAAAAAAAAGAAGCTAAAAATAGAGCCTTTGCTCGAGCGCACAGTTGGTCGCTCAAGCGGTCCAACAATATGCAAAGGGTTCGCTCGAGCACACACTCGGTCGCTCAAGCCATCTGTAAGGACTACAAAAGTACTGGATGCTCGATTTTTACACTTGATGATTGCTCGATAGTCACTTGAGCCAAGTGCTGAACAAAAATGAGTTCGCTCGAGTGCATACTTGGTCGCTTGAGCCAATGGCTAAATGTTTGAAAAAGTACTGGATGCCTTCGTTTTTCACTCAAGCGGCGGATTCTTCACTTGAGAGAGAGAACTGGACAAATTATGGGTTTCCAGATTTGTGTTTGAAGTTCAAAAACATGCTTTTCAATTATGAAGCCATGATCTTAAATACTCTTTCAATTCTTCAGAACAAAGGTTAAAACTTCAAGTTCTTGACATGCATGTAACAACCTCAATTCTTTTCTTTACAAAACATGCCTATATGAAGTGTTGAGTGAAAAACCATGAAGAATCTCAAGAAATATCTCATGTAAGTCCCATCCATGTATCAATTTTGAAGGAAACCAAGTTCAAAGATGAATCTGTTGATTCTCCTTCCACTATGCCTAATAACCCTCTTCCAACAACAACATCATCATCATTGACTTCACTTTCAAGACTTAATGGGACGTTAAGATCGAAAATGCTATTATGAATATCAGGAAGCTCCTCCTGCTTTGTTGAAACACTTTCTGTGTTTCTGTTTTCTGAGAATCCAATGTAGTGAGCCCTTTTGTGACCTCCCAAGGCTTGTCCTGATGTGAAAACTTTGAAGCAAATCGGGCATTTGTGGTCTTTGCTCTTCTTTAACTCGTAACTTGTCATAGCTCCCAAACCAATGTCATGCTCAACTGCATTCTCATTGCATTCAAGCTTATCAAGCTTGGAATTTGCTTCAGTGTTAGTCAGTGGTGAAATGTTCGCCTCAACAGTCCTATTTTCACTACTGCTGATAGTTTTGTGGTTAGCTCGGTGGCCTCCAAGTGCTCGGTAAGAGTGGAAGATCTTGTTGCAGGTCTTGCACGTGTACTCGCGTTTCTTCTGAAAATCCTCAAAAATCCCAGAAGTAGAAGCAACAAAGTTTATTTCATCACACAAATTTTCCCCCAATTCAGGATCTTGAACCTCAAAACCGGCCCCCAATTTAAATTTTCAAAATTGTTTAGTTGGAACAATACTAAAAAAACATAAGAGTACTAAATTAAGCTAAAACCAAACAAACATTGGATTAGCTGAACTAAGCTAAACCAAACATAACTTTATTTCATTCCAAGCACTGTAAATTAAAGTATGCCTTTTCTTTTGATTGAAGGCAAAGGGTACAAGAAAACTAGACCTCCCAACAATGAGCCTCTGTTTACATAGAAAAATCATGTACTACAAAAAATACTTTTTAAATCATGAATCAAAAACTCGTACGTGCATGCGTGCGGAAGAGATCTCAAAGCTGACCTAATTAGAGTTCGAGTTGTTTGTGAATAAATCTTTTCTCTGTTAATCTTATCGAGTTATTAGGTGGATACTTTGGACTCATTGTGGTTTATAACATGGAGATGCTTTTTCCTTTTGGGCAAAGGTGGAGTGCCTAAAAAAATAATTCTAACACTGTAGCCAGGTCCCTCTAGGTAGTTGCTAGCATGAGAGAGAGAGAGAGAGACAGAGGTCAAAAACCATAGAAAGATTGATGAATTTTTTTTTAAAGCACAAAGTGGAATGAATAGACACCAGAGTGAGATGGTTGTGATGTTTATATATAATGGGTGACTAAACAACCACCTTCAGCTCTCAGTTACCCATCTTTTTCACATTTTTGTATTGTTTTTGAGGGACACCAACATTGCTTGAAAGCACTCTCAAGTCTCAACTAATCTTCCAAACGGTAGTAATCAAATTCAGTAATGCCAGATATCCACAATTATTGTTCAAAAATTAATTTACAAAAATTAATGCGTGTTCCTGATTCATGTATTAGTTAAACATATATATATAGCTTTTTGGCAAATTAAAAAACCCAATGGCCCTTGTAGATCTTTGAGTTCTGAATTCTGATCATCATCTTAATTCATCAAGATCAAAATGGGGAAAGAAAAAAAAAAAAACTAGGATAAATACTAAACTATGAAACTACTAGAAGCATCAAAAGGATGCTTTACTTTAGAAGAGGGGATTCAGTTGGTGCCAATTGGTTATGACCGGGCCAGAAACTGAGTGAGGATCAAGAGGGAGATCCAGTGGACAGGGGGAGATACCAGAGACTAGTGGAAAAGCTCATATACTTATCTCACTCACGTCCATACATTGTTATTGCCATGAGTATGGTGAGTTAGTTTATGCATGCTCCGAGAACTTCCCTCTTAGAGGCAGTTATGAGAATCCAGATATACCTGAAAACTTCTTCGGGAAAGGGTCTCTATTTCTCAAAACATGACCATCTCAGCGTTGAGACATTTACTGATGCAGATTGGGTAGGATCCATCACTGACAGACGATCAACTTTCGAATATTGTACATTTGTTGGTGGCAACCTAGTCACATGGCGTAATAAGAAACAGAATGTGGTTGCTAGATCTAGTGCTGAGGCAGAATTCAGGGCTATGGCTCAGGGTCATGCGACTATACTGTGACAACAAGGCCGCAATCAACATAGCTCATAATCCAGTTCAACATGATAGAACTAAGCATGTGGAAATTGATAGATACTTCATCAAGGAAAAGCTCACTAGTGGTAGCTCATAATCCAGTTCAACATGATAGAACTAAGCATGTGGAAATTGATAGATACTTCATCAAGGAAAAGCTCACTAGTGGTAGCTCATAATCCAGTTCAACATGATAGAACTAAGCATGTGGAAATTGATAGATACTTCATCAAGGAAAAGCTCACTAGTGGTAGCTCATAATCCAGTTCAACATGATAGAACTAAGCATGTGGAAATTGATAGATACTTCATCAAGGAAAAGCTCACTAGTGGTAGCTCATAATCCAGTTCAACATGATAGAACTAAGCATGTGGAAATTGATAGATACTTCATCAAGGAAAAGCTCACTAGTGGTAGCTCATAATCCAGTTCAACATGATAGAACTAAGCATGTGGAAATTGATAGATACTTCATCAAGGAAAAGCTCACTAGTGGTAGCTCATAATCCAGTTCAACATGATAGAACTAAGCATGTGGAAATTGATAGATACTTCATCAAGGAAAAGCTCACTAGTGGTAGCTCATAATCCAGTTCAACATGATAGAACTAAGCATGTGGAAATTGATAGATACTTCATCAAGGAAAAGCTCACTAGTGGTAGCTCATAATCCAGTTCAACATGATAGAACTAAGCATGTGGAAATTGATAGATACTTCATCAAGGAAAAGCTCACTAGTGGTAGCTCATAATCCAGTTCAACATGATAGAACTAAGCATGTGGAAATTGATAGATACTTCATCAAGGAAAAGCTCACTAGTGGTAGCTCATAATCCAGTTCAACATGATAGAACTAAGCATGTGGAAATTGATAGATACTTCATCAAGGAAAAGCTCACTAGTGGTAGCTCATAATCCAGTTCAACATGATAGAACTAAGCATGTGGAAATTGATAGATACTTCATCAAGGAAAAGCTCACTAGTGGTATCATATGTATTTCATTTGTGAAGACTGGAGACCAACTAGCCGATGTTGTCACCAAGTGGCTAGGGAGCAAACCATTTCATGGCATTCTCAACAAGCTGGGAATGAGAGATATTTTCGCACCAGCTTGAGGGTGAGTGTTAGAATAGGAATTAAGTTAGAATAGAAAATACGTGATTGTGTGATTGTATTTCTTTATATTATGCCTTATGACACTCTTGCAATTACTTAGTATTATCAATATAAAAGGGAATGAAGTCTACCTCATTGCCTAACTCTTTCTCTTCTCTAAAACTAGATTATTGTGGTATCAGATTTGCTATATACTATACCCTGGAGATGAATCAATGGAGGGAAAGATCCTTCGTCTGAAGCAACAATATACCCTGTGCTCAGCTTCTCTGCAAGATATTATTGCACGGTTTGAGAGGAGGTCTGGAGGGCATGTCAAATGGGAAGAGTTTTCCGAAAAGGTTGCAGTGCAGATGAATGACACTCACCCAACACTCTGCATTCCAGAACTGATGAGAATATTGATGGATTTGAAGGGCATGAGCTGGAAGGAAGCTTGGGATATTACCCATAGGTATTTTTATTGCTTTAGTTTTATGTGCATGTGTGACGGTGTCATTTTCAGTTATAGAGACCAGATTAGATTGTGAATTTGTAATGGATTCAGTGTGTTCTCAAATCTATTATATCTCTTTTTGTCTTAAAATATTTTATAAGCTTTAGTGATTTTAATTGGATTTGAAACATTTTCTACTGTTTACGTGCCATTTGGCAGTTAATATTTATTTGCAAGTTGTGGTTACATAATTGCCTCACGTGCTGGTATATACTTGCCAGAACTATGGCATACACAAACCACACCGTTTTACCTGAGGCATTGGAGAAATGGAGCTTAGAACTTATGCAGAAACTGCTTCCTCGACATGTTGAGATTATAGAGATGATTGATGAGGAGGTAGTGCAAAATAAACACACACAATCTTTCGCCACTGGAAGTTGTTACTTTCATACTAATTTCTGGTATTTGCTATTTTTCAGCTGATCCATAAAATAATATCAGAGTATGGTACATCAGATTCTGACCTGTTGGAGAAAAAATTGAAGGCAATGAGAATTTTAGAAAATGTTGATGTGCCTACTTCCATTTCTGATTTATTTGTTAAACAAAAAGAAAGTCCTGCTGTTGAATCCAGTGAAGAAGTTGAAGAATCTGATGTTGAATCCAGTGAAGAAGTTGAAGAATCTGATGAAGAACTTAAACCTATTGATGAAGATGAATCAAAAGAAGAAAGCATGCAGAAGCAGAAAAAGGTGGACTTGGAATCAATTACAAAACCGCCACACAAAGAAAGTCCTGCTGTTGAATCTAGTGAAGAAGTTGAAGAATCTGATCTTGAATCCAGTGAAGAAGTTGAAGAATCTGACGAAGAACTTAAACCTATTGATGAAGATGAATCAAAAGAAGAAGGCATGCAGAAGCAGAAAAAGGTGGACTTGGAACCAATTACAAAACCGCCACAGATGGTCCGCATGGCTAATCTCTGTGTCGCAGGTGGTCATGCAGTAAATGGAGTTGCTGAGATTCATAGTGAAATTGTAAAGGATGACGTGTTTAATGAATTTTATCAGGTATAAATGATAGTGGTACTTCATTCATTCTTGAACTATATATTTGTCGATATTTCATTTTACGCATTTTATGACTTTTATAGCTCAGCTCATTTTTCTCAGTATAGTTAGAAGTGATGCTATTTTTGCTCTCTGTTGGTAGATGTGGCCTGAGAAATTTCAAAATAAAACAAATGGGGTGACACCAAGAAGATGGATCCGTTTTTGCAATCCAGATCTAAGTAATATCATAACTAAGTGGATAGGTACAGAAGATTGGGTCCTTCACACTGAGAAATTGGCAGAACTGCGGAAGGTAATATGCAGTCTGTGTGTCCATTTTTTTTTTCTTTTTATTAATTAAAATTCTTGTACTAGTTGGATAACTGATTTTCATTTTTGGTATGGGTTTACATTTTATCTGTCTTCTGTCAACCAAATATCTACCTAGCAGGATGAATCTAACTTGAACACATGAACTACTGTCATCAATTAGAATGGGCTAATGGACACCCTATTTTAAGCTATGTTGCGTTTGGTAGCTCAAAGAAAATAGACAAACCAGGGACATGAAGAACTGAATTTTTCAAATACTAATGATTTTAGGTTGAAATGTGAGCACTTCTCGGTAAAATGTGTTAGCTAATCATGCTAGAAGATGATCAGATCATTAGGGAAAATCACTACTAGACTAGTACGTATTAACTTGATTTTTTCTACTCATCATGAACTGTAAGTTGCAGCATGGCTTTGTAGCATTACAAGTGGTATTTGAATTATTTTTCCTTCATTCTAAATCTTTGGGTGGTGAGCACTGTTATAAAGAGGGTGTAATTAGTTGGACATCAGTACAAGATGTGACAGGCATCTAAAATTTGTGGCATGAAATGAGACTGTATTTGACTGTTCCTCTTTGTTTTGCTATTTCTTGAAGAAGTTCATTTTCTTCCCCTTTTAGTGTTGAAATTAGTAGTGTTACGCAACCATCATATATCCTAACCTGAGTTTTGAAAACTATGCATAGTTTGCCGAGAATGAGTATCTCCACATTGAGTGGAGGGCAGCAAAAAGGAGCAACAAGATGAAGGTTGTGTCATTCCTCAAAGAAAAAACTGGATATTCCATCAGCCCTGACGCAATGTTTGATGTCCAGGTTATTTCCATGCCTTTAGAATCTTTTTTTTCTTTCAATTTCACAATAACACAGTGCAAAACCATTTTGGCCTTTAAAATTTGTGTTGAACATCACAACTGTGAGCTGACTCATTTCCAGTCCATAAAAATTTTCCACCTTGAAAACACACAAGCTTTAGGAAGTGGCATTATATTGTTGCCTGTTTAAAAGGTGAGAAACTTGTCATAAATATCTCAACAAATGGTATAGCTGGAAATTCAATAAATTAATCATTAGCTTTTTTGACTGTGCGAAATACAGTTTGGGACTCCAAAAAGGAAATGTGGACTATTATTTGGGAAGGGATATTATGTTAGATGAAACATCATTGCATTCTATGATCTCTCTATGCATAAACATTTCTCAATTTTCCTTATATTCCTTGCAAAAATTGTGCTGTAATAGATAAAGTTGACTTTTTCCCCCTTCAGGTGAAGCGTATCCACGAATACAAGCGACAACTTTTAAATATCTTGGGGATTGTTTACCGCTACAAAAAGATGAAAGAAATGAGTGCAGCAGAGAGGAAAGTGGAGTTTGTTCCACGAGTTTGTATATTTGGAGGAAAAGCATTTACCACATATGTGCAAGCCAAAAGGATAGTTAAATTTATCACAGATGTTGGGGCTACAGTAAATCATGATCCTGAAATCGGTGATTTACTAAAGGTACAGTTTTCTTGGTAGGTTTTATTGATCAAGCTTTCCGAGTCCACACATTGTTCTCTGTGTGTGTGTGTGAGTGTGAGCACGTGCACGATGTGCAAAATGGAAAGGCCTAACCATGACTCAATGGTGAGAATTCTTCACTATGAATGTGATAATGTTGCCTTCTTTAGCTATCTGAACCATATTTCTCAAGGCAAATGGCTCAAAGAAAGGTTTGAAGTATCTCCTGTCCACTACTCGTGAGTTATGATGTCATGGCTATTCCTTGGTGATGATCCCATATGCTTCATTTTATGAATTTTAACAGATCTATCAAAATTAAGGATCACTCACAACTCCTTGAAAGGGTTCAGTAAAATACTTGTGAATCCATGGCAACTTTGTCCATGCAATTGGATATTGATTTTTGGATACTTTTTGGTGAAGACTCTTTGAACTTTGTTGTAGCACTTCAATGATTCTATCTGGGGTAATTATTGACAGTCATTTTGATCACACGTTATAAAATTGACTGGAGTGTCCATAGTTTGGTAGCCTTATAGATCAGTTTTGAGATTGCACAGATAATAAACAACAATTATAACTCCAATCTATATGTTTAAAATAAAAAAAAAAAAAAAATACTATGTCAATTTCAGCAGAAGTTAAGCAATTAAATGCCAATCACATGAAGCTGTCGAATTATAGGCCTAGAATTCTTGCAATTTTTGGAGGAACTTTACTGGAAATACTACCAAGAATCATTATTATTTTTTGGCTGTGGAATTGCTTCGACTGCCCTGGTAGAACATTGTATATTGATTTCTTTGCTGCAAGCTCATCCATATAACTGATCTTGATTGTTGCTGCAAGCTCATTCATACCATTGATCTTTGATATTCTTATTTCCTTTAATTTTTTATTTTTAGGTTGTATTTGTTCCTGATTACAATGTCAGTGTTGCTGAATTGCTTATTCCTGCAAGTGAGCTCTCGCAACACATCAGGTATTTAAAACCCAGGTCACACATCATTTTTGCAGAATAACAGCTTTTATTTATTCCCTGATAGACTGAACTCTTGATTTATGGTCTTTAAGATTTGACTCTCTCTCTCTCTCTCTCTCTCTGTCTCTAGTACTGCTGGGATGGAGGCCAGTGGAACCAGCAACATGAAGTTTGCTATGAACGGTTGCATCTTGATTGGGACCTTGGATGGGGCCAATGTCGAAATAAGGCAAGAGGTTGGACCCGAGAACTTTTTTCTTTTTGGTGTTCAAGCTCATGAAATCGCGGGCCTTAGGAAAGAAAGAGCTGAAGGAAAGGTATACCAATGGATCAAATTTCTCTTTCTATTTTTGTTTTTGAGGTTGAACCCAAGTGTCACTGTTTCTACTGTGGAACGAACCCTACTGAGGTTGGGTAGTTGTGCCTTTGAAAAGTTTCCTCATGAGCAGAGTGGGAAGCTGTAATTGTTGTTTTTTGTTGCTCTATCTGAATCTTGTATCAGCTGCATTGAATGATTCTATCTCTTTTCTTACTTGATGTAGTTTGTGCCTGACCCACGTTTTGAAGAAGTGAAGGAATTTGTTAGAAGTGGTGTTTTTGGACCATATAACTATGATGAATTAATGGGATCCTTAGAAGGAAACGAAGGTTTTGGCAGTGCAGACTATTTCCTTGTGGGCAAGGACTTCCCAAGTTACATAGAATGCCAAGAAAAGGTCGACGAGGCATATCGAGACCAAGGGGTGAGTGATCTAAGCATTTATCTGCATATCTCTGTTGCTAAGCCGTGCACATTTGTCACTTTTATGTGCTTGCTAGTTTCTAATGTTCATTCAACATACATTTTTGAGTTGGATTGTTCTTTAGTCTGACTCTGCATGCCATATTCACAGCTTCATGGATCATTTAGTAAAATTTAGATTCCAACAAAATGTTGATTTGATAACTAACATAAGAATGACAGCATTGGCTTCTTTTTTTCGTCTTCCATGCATCGTTTGATCTTTCCAAATTGAAATTTGACTTGTTTGCAATAATTTGTTTGCTCCGAGCATGTTTTGCTAAGGTTTTTAGCATCAAATATTATGTTCTTGCACCGTACAAAAATATGCATGCATTCGAAAATGGAAAATCTCATTTACTCAATATATTTAGAACGTAATTATGTTCATTTACTTGATTTATTTAGATCCTACTGTGTTTTTTGTTCCTTACATTTGTAATTGTTGGTGGTGCAGAGATGGACAAGAATGTCAATCTTGAATTCAGCGGGCTCGTACAAGTTCAGCAGTGACAGAACAATTCATGAATATGCCAGAGACATATGGAACATTGAACCGGTCGAATTACCTTAAAAAAAACTTGGTCATTTTATAGAAGTGAGTTTGTTTGTTTGTTGGTTTGTTTGTTTGTTTGTTTTTTTCTCTATGCGAGTGAATCAGTCCATACATGTTGTCATTATGTAATAAAGTTGTGTTAGCTTGATATGCTTGCACATTCACCTGAAACTTGGTCACCTCTAAATTCTACTATAGCTTATGAATAATAATGAACCTAATATTTGAGCAGCTACAATTTTCTGTGATTTGTGAATTATTATGGTGCAATGGTGACATTTACTTGTGATGTAAATTGTTGGAAGATTTGTCTTTGGACCTTAGAATAAATTTTTTTTGGGGCTTTTATTTAATTGCATGTGAGCACTTACGAGATGTTTCATGCAATTTATAGAGACTATTTATAAATTTCATTTTGAGAGTTTGTGTTAAGAGTATTTAGTTCAGTTTTGTTTATATTTTATAAGACAGAAATGGTTGAAAAAAGCTCTACTAGTTATGGAAGAAAGAATTGTTTCCATGACTTGACCACGTAGTCACTTCTATCCTACTTATAGTTTGTAAGACAAAATTAACTTAATTTCATATTTTTATGCTATATTTTGGAGAGGGGGTAAAAAATGATTAAGTTGGAGAGGAAAAAAAATGATTTTTTTTTCAATCATGCTTGAATAGACTATATAAAATAAAATTTCTTAAAGATTGTATTACCAATATAATTTTTTACCTCTTTAATAATCTAAATAAGTGATTAGGACTAAAAAAAATGATTTCTTTCTATCCAAACTGACCGTTAACGTGCTACTAGCCTAAGCTCATCATGTCAACAGAATGGCCTGATAAAGTCTAAGGCTCCGTTTGGTAGAGCTTTGTAACTATGATTTGAGAATATGAGTTGTATTTTGAGTTTGTGTGTTTTAGAATTATGATTTGAGTGTAGAAAATTTGTTTGGTTATGATTTTTGAATAAAGTGTTGAATTGAGTGTAGAATTGAGTTTTGAAAGTTTGATTTGACATGTGAAGTAAGAAAATTTGTTTGGTTATGAGTTTTGAAAAGAGTTTTCAAAACTTAATTCAAATTGTTATAACTCATAACAAAACACATTACTTTCACATTATTGAAAATTTTGATCAACACTCATAACCAAACTCTTTTTAAAATTCAATTAAAAAAATTTATTATTAACAAAAAATAACATTAATCAATTTTTTAATTGAAAATACTACAAAGGAAATAATTTTTTTTCAAAATAAATATTCAAAAAATTTAAATCATAAATATTTAAATAATTTAAATAATCTAAAAAATTTAATAAGTAAAAAATTAAAATAAATATTCAAAAATTTTAAATCGTAAAAATTTAAATAATTTAAATATTCAAAAAATTAAAATAATTTAAAATTTTAATATTTTAAATTTAAAAACAACTCTACACTCAAATCGTAACCAAACATATAAAACAAAACTCAATTAAAAAATTATTTTTAAAACTCATAACCAAACACATAACTCGAAACTAAATCATAATTCTAAAACACACAAACTCAAAAGACAACTCATATTTTCAAATCATAATTACAAAGCTCTCAAATTTTAGAAATTTAAAAGCTAGCATTAAAACTCTATATTAGACTGACTCAGAATATGGTTCATACAATCTAGTAGAAGTTTTGTTAGGTTATTGTTTAAATTAAAATTTCAAAAATCAAAATCATAACCGCTATGTTATTTGAACTCAAGTACAACATAAACCTGGCTGGATAAAGGACACAGCAACATTTATATAAACATATGCATATATATTGTATACATCACTTGAATAAATTAAACAAATGATTTTATCACAATATTTACATGACAAAACTACCTTTCCTCAAGAATCACTTCTTGTGTTTGAATTTGCAAAGAAAAATTAGACTTATGTTCTATGGACATGGACTTGGAACTAAATTCAATCCCATTTAGTGTCATTATTTCCCTTTTTTCACATTATGTAAACCCAATTCTTATCCTCTATGAAGAAGTCAAATTATTTGGAACTATATTTTTCTAACAATTATGCTCCAATGCTACGCTATAAATGCCACGTGTCAATATTCAAGATCTGTTAGATACATTCCCCAAAGTATACAGCTAGTATTGGCCTTTTCGAAATAGTAAGAAAAAGTATTTACAAATTATGAATACATTTTTAAATGCCAGATACATTTTTATATGGTTACATAAATGACTCCTTTTTAGAAGTATCTGTTTGTTTTAAGTTTGTGACAATAGAACCACTTTTTCCAACATTATTTTTCTCAAATAAATTCAGCAGGGAACTGTTTCTATCATTTTTCTCCTGTGTCAAGAGAGAACAAGTATCACCACAGCTGTTTGATATTATCACATTTTGCATTGTGCAATATTTTTGGTCAACTATTTTGTTTGTGTGTGTCTATCTATATATTGTTTAATAATAATAATAATAATAATAATAATAATAATAATAATAAGAGTGGTCATTATCTATTTGGCTTGATTAATATATATATATATATATATATTTAAACTTTTATTTATTCTCTTACTTTTGTCATTGTTTATCTTATATATAATAATTAATAATTGATTTTTTGTATAATATAAAGTCATTAATTAGTAAAATAGAATGTAAAAAACTCAGTTTATAGTGACTTAAAAATATGAAATATATTGGATCAAACTTAAAAATTTATAAAAATTGATAAATATTTATTTTAAAACCCAATAAATATGATCATGGAAAAAAAATGTGCGTATCGATAAATTTTTTTCAAATTGTGCGAAAAATAAAAAAATTCACGGTTTCAGTTATTGCAACCGTTACGCTACGACCTTTACACCCCGCAACCGCAATTGCGCCACCGTCACCGTTACGGTGACCGTAACAGCTTTTCAGAACCTTACTTGGATGTAAACACTTGGGCTGAGTTCAGTTAGGATGAAAGTGGTAAAAAGTGCAAGAAAGAGAAAACATAAAACTTTTCCAAGTTAGAAGCATTAAAATGTTGAAAGTTACAAGAAAATTGATTTTCCTTTACACGTGTTAGCATGGTGACTAAGCTTTTTAGTTTCTTGCAAAAAACACAAGGAAGTTAAATTTGTTCATAAAAGTTAGTACTTATGATTAGGCTTCGTTTGGCAACAAGGGTTTGTAGCCAAAAAAACACTATAAGTTATCACATTACTTTCTCTATTTTTTGCGTGTCTTTTCGTAAAAAATCAAAAAGCCAATTAAAATAGTCAATTCCCAAACAGGGTAAAATTCCAAATTTATCTATCTTTCCTTTCAAATTTTCATCCTGAACAAATACATGCGAGAAAAAAATAATTTCTTTTCTATTTCTCTTCTTTTACTTCATTTTCTACCATTTATTTCCTTATAATCATATAGAGTTCTGTGTTGAGTAAAAAACTTAATTAGCAATCACACTCTTTAAGAAACGTGAGCAGCAGTCACACTGTAACCTAGTTTTAGAAATAACTTGAATAATGGTCTAATTATTTAATTTTAGAACCAAAAAAAAAAACTAAATGGGTAAAAGTGCCTAACCTAGCCACCCTATCATGGAGCAAATGCCGAGCACCACACAAAAGTGTTGGCCAGCTCCAAACCCGATTAAGACTTTCAACATTTTGTATGATCAAAACAAATAACAGCCCTGTGTATGTAACAATCCATAATGCTCTGTTACGAAGCTAAATGAATAGTTTTTAGATGTATGGTCTCTACAACAAAAGCACATACAACTTTTGCGTGATATATAAAGGGGAGATACATATGCAAGCCAAACTCTGATCTGGCACCTCATTTGTCATTTTGATTACATTGGTGAGGTCGAGGTAATGAATTAAATGAGAAATATGGATCCGGACTCTGGAAGGTTATATCCTAACCCTCCGTGGACCATGCTATCCTTTCATTCAAAACTCCCAACTAAGGAGAAGGACAAGAATTAAAACTTTTCCTTTCATTTCTCTCCATCCAAACACTATGAAATGTGTAGACAGTAAATAAATGTAAGTCGTAACACAGCATATTAAATTGAAAAAACGACTACCAAAACCCCAATGGCCCTTGTAGATCTTTGAGTTCTGAATTCTGATCATCATCTTAATTCATCAAGATCAAAATGGGGAAAGAAAAAAAAAAAAACTAGGATAAATACTAAACTATGAAACTACTAGAAGCATCAAAAGGATGCTTTACTTTAGAAGAGGGGATTCAGTTGGTGCCAATTGGTTATGATATAATTATACCCCAAAAAAAAAGCTCAAACAAATACAAGTATAGAGGGCTTTTAAAATTTTTACTACGTAATTTAACGCAAATCAAAGGCCAACAAGTCTCCAAATAGTCCTAATAATACTAGCCCAATAGTAATCTTATCTTTGAACTTAAAAGAGTAATTCTATCAACCTTCACGATATGAGGCTCCCTTGAAAAGTTCAACCTTCACCATATCAGAAACTACACTGATTCTCCAATGCATTTGCACTTAATAATCAATTCTGAGACAAGTTTCAGCCAGTTCAGCAGAAGGTTTATCTCTAGAGCCTCAAAATGAAATATTGATATATAAGTAACCAGTTACAGTAGTTAATCCATTTCATTTTTAATCATTGACCATGTGGGCTTTGCCAGGTAGTTTTACTTAATGGTTAAATATTCTTGTTTGATTCATTTTTAAGAAACTACTTTCAAATTACCTGATTCAGCAAATTTAGAACAAATAAACGAAACTCTGATCATCAATCATTCCACATATCTATTTCAAATACTAAAGACAACTTTTAACATTTAACTTGAACCGGTACTGGAATAGGAGAGGATACATGTTACACCACAATTTTGATTCGCAAGAGAGATTTCAAGAAATGGCAGGTCTAGAAAGAACAAATGTTGCATTTTTATACCTATTCTATTTGTTATATTATATAAAACACACAGCTCGGAACAGCTTCGAAGCTTTGTCACGTGTTTTTCATATATTAAAAATACCCGTAGTGTTAACTGCTCATAAACCATTCACCGTTTTCATTCAACCCATCTTCCTCATCTATCAAATCACTAAAAAGTTCAGATATAAAATTGCATTTGCATAGTTTTTGCACCCACCACTAATATTATATTATATATATAAATATACAAATAAACAGTACAAATCATTGACCATGCGATGTGGGCTTTACCAGGTAGTTTTGCTTGATGGTTAAATTCTTGTTTGATTCATAATCAAGAAACTACATTTTCAAATCATTTTAACCAACTCAGTCAAAGAACACACAAACATAACTCTGATCATCAATCATTTCACACTAACATGGATCAAAATCAAGAACACTCAAAAAAAACAAACAAAGCACTTTCAAGAAACTACATTTTCAGACCATTTCAACCCAACTCAGTCAAAGAACACACAAAGATAACTCTGATCATCAATCACTCCACACTATTTCGAATCAAAATCAGAACAACAATGCAAAAAAATAAAAAATAAAAATAAAAAATCACTTACAGGAGCATAGAGAGACGCCCAATTCTGAATAGCAGCGATGACATTAGGGTCTTGATAATAATTCACGGCCACCGTGCCGGCATCGAGAGTCGGTTGAGCATAGGCAACCACACTGGGCTGGTGGTAGGCTTCGTAGCCACCGACATGGGTCTGTAGAAAGGAGCTTGAAGAAGTGGTGTAATGGGGATCATGGGGTTGAAGAAGAGGGTCAGTTGAGAGGTGAGTGATAGGGTGGTTAGGGTTAGGGTTAGGGTTTTGGGAGAATTGGGTGGTGTAGAGATGATGGTGATGATGAGAGTAAGAATCTAAGGGTTGTGAGTTAGGGTTTTGTGGTGGGTAGGTTTGCATTTCTCTCCACTGGTTGTTGTAGTCCATTGAAATTGTACATTCAGGATTTTAGATTAGAGAGAGAAAAAGAGGAGAGAGCAGAGAGGAAAGAGAGTTGGAGAGTTTCTCTCTCTGCACTTTTGTAACAGAAATGATTTGTGCAATGAATGCAAGCCCAGGCCACAGTGGTCCATTTAAAAATGGCCCAAAACAAGGCCCAAATGCCTCTCAGTTTTTGGGCCCACTCTTAATACTTATCCCCAAAAAACATGAATACAAAAAAAAAAAAGTGATTATTGGGTGCAGGAAAGTATAGTTACGTGATATTTTATAATATTATAATTTATGAAAAAAAATAAAAATTATAATTTTATGTTGGAATCGGGAGAAGCAGAGTGCCGTGGTGTGATGATGATCTGGTACATAAAAGTAATTCCTAGATTTAGCTTCCACTTATGGGTGGCTTTGATGGAGAGATTCAGCACAAAAGATAGATTCATGGAAATGAGTGTATCCCAATCTAACAAAGTGTGTACTGTGTGAATTGATGTAGCAGAATGATGAATTTTTTTTTTTTTAAATGTTGCTAGACTAAGAATTTTTGAAAGTTTTTCCATTGGCCAAGTTCTGGATGGAAATCTACTTTTAAGTGAGAAGTGAGCTCATTAAAATTTGTATTCTTGTGTTTGAAGAGCTGGAAATTATGCAACGAGCTGAATATAATAGCAATGGAAAAAGGAGAAAGAGAAAGTGGGCTACAGGATGAGGAGAGTGGATGTTAATATATTATAATGGGTAGGTATAGTGCAAGTGTGTGTGTATCTGCGGGTGATAAAGATTGTGGGCTACATGATGTGGATAGTGGAGGTTAATATATTATAATGGGTTGGTAATGTAAAGAGAGAGAAGAGACCATGCCCGAGAGAGAGAGAGAGCCCAGCGATGGCTTTGTCCCTTTGCTGAAAATGTATCCCCGCTGAGAGAGAGATGTGCGTTTGAGCTCGCTAGAGAGAGTAAAGGCTGCTTTCAACATCTGCTGCCTCTGTGTGTATATGTGCTGTGTGTTTGAGAGAGACTAGACGGTTTAGAGAAGGATAGAGAAGACACACACAGGGCTCTCTTCCCTCTCTAGCATTTGGTGGCGCCCCGTGTACCAGAGCTCAGGGAAGCCGTTCGCGCACTTGTAGCAGACCATATCGGGGAGGTCGGGGAGGGTTTCGATGGAGACCCGTTTGTCGCAGTGGTAGCATCAGTACTGTAACGGATCAGGATCCGAACCCGATTGGGTTTTCTTTTAATGGCACCAACACCTTCAGCCAAATCAACTCAAATGAAATCAAAACAAACCCATTGGGTTCGGAAAGAAAACCCAGAAAAATTTGAAATGAAGATTGAGCACCAGGGGCACCAGGCTTGTCGATCTTGTTGCCTAACACCAACAATGGAATACCACTCAGTGATGGTTTGCTTAGCAGATCATGGAGTTCACTTCTCGAGATGCCAAGGTATGTGTAGAGGTCCGGCGGGCGGCCAAGGCGAGGCTGCCGCCCGCCGGTGAAGCAGAATGAATAGGTTCTTAACCTTGCTCTGATACCATGATGAAAGTATGTATTATTGATTGATGTGTATATATTACAAGATTGATTTGTGTATATTGATTACAACTCCTATATATAGAAGAGAAGGTAGCAGATTGTGGTGGTGCTGGTAGGGGGTGAAGTGGAGGTGGTAGGTAGAGTGGGTTAGGTTTAGTGGAGTTGAGTGGGTGTAGTGGGTTAGGTTAGTGGGTGAGGTTTAGTGTACATTAACATAAAGTATGCCTTTTCTTTTGATTGAAGGCAAAGGGTACAAGAAAACTAGACCTCCCAACAATGAGCCTCTGTTTACATAGAAAAATCATGTACTACAAAAAATACTTTTTAAATCATGAATCAAAAACTCGTACGTGCATGCGTGCGGAAGAGATCTCAAAGCTGACCTAATTAGAGTTCGAGTTGTTTGTGAATAAATCTTTTCTCTGTTAATCTTATCGAGTTATTAGGTGGATACTTTGGACTCATTGTGGTTTATAACATGGAGATGCTTTTTCCTTTTGGGCAAAGGTGGAGTGCCTAAAAAAATAATTCTAACACTGTAGCCAGGTCCCTCTAGGTAGTTGCTAGCATGAGAGAGAGAGAGAGAGACAGAGGTCAAAAACCATAGAAAGATTGATGAATTTTTTTTTAAAGCACAAAGTGGAATGAATAGACACCAGAGTGAGATGGTTGTGATGTTTATATATAATGGGTGACTAAACAACCACCTTCAGCTCTCAGTTACCCATCTTTTTCACATTTTTGTATTGTTTTTGAGGGACACCAACATTGCTTGAAAGCACTCTCAAGTCTCAACTAATCTTCCAAACGGTAGTAATCAAATTCAGTAATGCTAGATATCCACAATTATTGTTCAAAAATTAATTTACAAAAATTAATGCGTGTTCCTGATTCATGTATTAGTTAAACATATATATATATAGCTTTTTGGCAAATTAAAAAAAAAAAAAAAAAGCCATTCTTTCTTTAATTTCTCTGTTTGAAAAAAAAAACCAGTCAAAAAAAAAAAAAAAAAGTTAACTTTTGTAGTAATTATAAACTTCCTCAGAAATCTTAAGAATTCCAAGTTTTATTTCCAAAATTTTACTTGGTAGAAATTAAATTGGTATATAGTATAAGATCCTATATAAAATGAATATTAGCCTCGGTTAACAAGAAAACATTTTCCAGTAAAAAAAAAAAAAAGAAAAAAAAGTAACTTTTGTAGTAATTACGAAACACAAAGATTTTTACATTCTAAAAAACAACTAAAAAAGTAATCGCCAAACCCCACCTCATTTTGAGTGTGATCCCTATCATACAAGACTTAAATCTAGACACATTTATTGTAAGTTTAAATTGTGGGCAACGATTTTGAGTATCTAAGTTTTACGCAATCAAATTACTGTTACCTCTCAATCTTGAAAAGACCTTCATAGTAATACCATGCTCTAATCTTCTTCCAATATTTGGAATGAAAATTTGAGAAAACTCCAATGTCAACAAAATTCAATGACAACCAACCAAGCTTATCTAGTAACACAACTGGATAAAAGAAGCATACAAAGCATGGACACAGATTTCAATTTCAATTTTGAATTTCCAAAGAAAGATCATCAATGAGCTCCTGTTTTGCAAGAACAAACAGAAACAAAAGTAGCCAAGAAAATGGAAGGGAAAACAAGACGAAAATTTTACCTCTACGTTGGTGATCCTAAAACTTGGTTTTATCATCCTAGTTGTCTCTACACTCTTGAATTCATGGAAACCATGGAAGGAGAAACAGTCTGCTCAGTTAGAGATCAGCAGCGGCTCGCGCTCGTGATCACTCCCAACCAACCATGGCTTGAACCCAACAACAACATCATCATCATTGACTTCACTTTCAAGACTTAATGGGACGTTAAGATCGAAAATGCTATTATGAATATCAGGAAGCTCCTCCTGCTTTGTTGAAACACTTTCTGTGTTTCTGTTTTCTGAGAATCCAATGTAGTGAGCCCTTTTGTGACCTCCCAAGGCTTGTCCTGATGTGAAAACTTTGAAGCAAATCGGGCATTTGTGGTCTTTGCTCTTCTTTAACTCGTAACTTGTCATAGCTCCCAAACCAATGTCATGCTCAACTGCATTCTCATTGCATTCAAGCTTATCAAGCTTGGAATTTGCTTCAGTGTTAGTCAGTGGTGAAATGTTCGCCTCAACAGTCCTATTTTCACTACTGCTGATAGTTTTGTGGTTAGCTCGGTGGCCTCCAAGTGCTCGGTAAGAGTGGAAGATCTTGTTGCAGGTCTTGCACGTGTACTCGCGTTTCTTCTGAAAATCCTCAAAAATCCCAGAAGTAGAAGCAACAAAGTTTATTTCATCACACAAATTTTCCCCCAATTCAGGATCTTGAACCTCAAAACCGGCCCCCAATTCAGGTTCTTGAACATCAAAACCAGCTTCCTTGCTTGAATTAGACTTCAAAATTTCTGAGTCAGCTTGACCCAATACGACTTCTCTCATCAAACCCTTCTCCAATTCTACTTCAGTAGGTTCACTTCCATTCTTGATTTCAGATTCATCATCCACTACAGGCTTCTTGAATTTATCACCCTCGTGAAACCCATCAATGGAAACTTCAAATTCAGCCTTCTTTTTATTCTTGCTAAAAAACCCAGAATCAAATTCACCCAATTCAGATTCATTCTTTTCAAACACAGAATTCCCAGAATACGAAACACAAGAATCGAATTTCACACCCAGTTTCTTCACCTTCCAAGTCTCATCAACATCAGATACTAATTTTTCACTTTGATGCACCGATTTAGCTTCAAAAATCACAGAATTGTTTTCAGAAGACTCCAAGACTGAATTAAACTCAGCCCAATTTATCACCCCCCTAGACAACATTATCAAACACATAGCAGCCTCTTCTACTTCATCAATCTCAGAAACATTTGAAGATGAATTCAAATTAGATGAAGCAAAATTCCCAGTAATCTTGTACCTTGTCTTTGATCGCTTTCTCCGAATTGGACATGCAGTTTCGTACTCCGATTGGCTCTCTTTTGGAGATTCATTCGAGAGCCTAGATCTTTTGGTGTGATGTCTCATATGACCAAACAGAGCTCTCATTGAATCAAACCCTTTTCCACATTGTTTGCATATATTTTCTTTGTCTTTGATTGAATGACATCTCATATGACCAGAGAGAGCTCTCAAAGAGGGAAACTCTTTCCCACATTCTTTACATAGTTTCTCTTCATGCAACACTCTGTTTCGGATTTGAAACCCTCCATGTCTTCTTAGGGTTCTCTCTCAGGCCATAGCTTCCATGACAATCACCTTCGAGACCCAAATCGCCATTCTTGAGCTTTTCTAGCTTCTGGGTTGAATCAGAAACCCTTAAAACCTTCTCACCATTTTGATGATCTTCATGCTTTTTAGCTGAAATCGAGGCTAAGTGACCCCTCATGTGACCTCCCAAGGACTTGCCACTAAAGCAACTCTTGCTACAAATCTTGCAAACAAACCTGTGTTCTTGATCTTCCTCCATTAGATTGAAACAAGAAACAAAAGCAATGAGCCAAGAACAAGAAAACCCAGATCAGAAAACCTCAATTTTCTCGGGAAAATGCTGAATCTCTCTGTATCGCGCAAGAATGGTAATGAAACAGGGGAATCATCAAATCAACGAAGACCCAGGATTTAGAAGCTAAAAATCTGATTAGAAAATTGAGTGCAATTGGTTTTTCAAGCGAAAAGAGTAGAACCCGTGATGGGATTCGTAGAGTTGATGAGCAAGAACAAGAGCTGAGTGCCCAAAAACCCTACCGTGAGTGGTCTTTCTCTAGAAATGGTTTTTGGCTTTTGAGTACTTGAAATAGACCTACACTCCTCACTCCAGAATTGATATACATATATTGAACTGAAGAGATTGGTTGTGTGACGACTATTGTGGCAGTGATAACTGCGAATAGGCACAAAGGAAAATTATAACTTGTCTCTCTGTTTCTCTCTCTCTCTCTCTCTCTCTCTGCCTCTTTCTCTTGGTGATGGATGGTTTTTATGGCATTGGGCAATTTTTAGGAGAAGCCTTGCATGGAAGCAAAGATATATAAAACACGTGGACTGTTGCCATTGGTTGATGATACTGGTATTTATGAAAATTATATATTATATTCTTTTTTGGCTAGCCAAATTTGTTTATATATTTATCATTACAATAATACTAGCGGTTACCAATGAAAATATGAATATTGAATTAAATATGGATGCGAAATTTTAGATTCTATTTAATGTTTCACTAATACCTTCTTTAATAAAATTTTATTTTCTCATATTTTATACCAATACATTAATGACAGTTATCTCCAATTTGATTTCAAATATAATTATTACCATTTATTATTAATTCTTTAGAATAAAAGAAGAAGAAAACTATACTATTAATTACCAGTGACCAGGTTCAAACATATTCAAGTTCTAGTCTTGGGGCTATGTCACAAAAAAGAAATTTTTTTCTAAATTCTCTAATTCTAATGTGGATGGCCTGTCTTTGTCTTTGACTAAATCGGAAAAAACATTAATCAAGATACACGTAAGTTGGTCCAAACACTCTTTACCATTGAATCAAAAAAAAAAAAAATTCAAGCTCTAGAGCAAAAAATTTAACTATTCTCGTTATAACTTGTTATGCTGTAAAATTATTTTTTGGTCTTAATTTTATGTTTTGACTAAAAGAATAAAAAAAAGAAATTTCACGTCAATGTACCATCGAAAAAGTAATTATAAATAAATGGTAAAATTTATAAATGTTAATAATTAAAATTTTTAGAAAACATGTAACGTAAATGTAATGATGAAACTTATTTTATATTCACCGAAAAAAAAGTTGTCACCACTGAAGTTACCAATATTCTCAGGGTGTATTTTAGAAAGAGTTACATTAAATCAGGTTTCAGTTTTTAAAAAATAATTTTTAGAAAATTTTACTTTTTTATTTTTCGTATTTTAATATTTTTAATGATTTTTTTTAATATTTTAATTAATTTTTAGATACACCTAACGTAAATATACTTAAAAGTATAATATTTATGAAAAAATATTTAAAAAATGCATTAAATACCAAAAAATATAACAAAAAAATGAAAATTTAGTATATTTTTCATATTTTTGTGTATTTATTAATTTTTTAAAATATTTTACTTATTTAGATACATGTAAGTAAGGTATATCTAAAAAAGTAAAAAAATTACTTAAAATTTTAAAAATATTAACTAAAAACTAAAAAACATGAAGAAAAAAAAATCAATTTTAAAAAAATTAAATTCAAAAAACTAAAACCAAAACTAGTTCGGTTTATTTAAAATCAAGGCGTCTATGCAGTAGCGTGACATAAGCAGTGTCGGCCAAAGCTAGTTCGGTTGTTAAAATGTATGTATGTAGTTTGGGGTGTTTTGGAAAGTTGGTAAAAAGTTAATTTTTGACATTTTATTAAGTTTTTTAGTTTTTTTTAAAATGATTTGAAAAGTTGGTAAAAAATTAGCTTTTGACTTTTTGATTTAATAGTTATTTATGGTGTCAAATTAAATTAAAATGACTAAAATACCCTTACCCAACATAAGAAATTTACTTTTTTAACTTTTTTTTTTTTTTATCAGTTTTTATGACTTGCAAAGCTTTTTTTTTTTTTTTTTTTTTTTTTTATCGGTTTTTATGATTTGCAAAGCACATATGCTGTCATACTTATTTCTCGTCCAAAAATCAATTCCAATCACTTTAATAAAGTCATTAGAAAAGTTAAAAAAAAAATATGTCAAACAAATTAAAAAGTTAATACGACAAAATATTACATTTAAATTACAATAATTTTATTTTTTTTCTTACAAAAGTCAAAAAATCTATCCCAAACGAGATTTTTTAATCCCTCACTAAAATACTCAAAAGCCAAAAAACTAAAAAGTCAACCTACATCCAAACAAGGCTAACTTTTTTTAAGTATCAACTTATTTGTGAGTCTATTATAAATACAACAATGATACATTCCACTAATTTGAGAGCACTAATGGACCACTAATGAGGTAGAAATTAAAAAAAGAAAAGAAAAAAAAAACTTAAGACCAAAACATCACATCAGTCAGTGGTACCCACTCTCTAGAGCTCCTTTAATGCTCCCAATTTAGAGCTCCCAAACATTTTTCTTATAAATAAATAAATTAGCTTATAATCAAGTGAGAAGTCTCAGGTTTAATTCACTACTATCTTTGATTTTTGAGGCCACATTTAGGATTTATATTTGATAATTTTTCAGTATGTATGAGATAGAAAATTACACATACATGGTAATTAAGCAAGGCAAAACCAAACGTCCTTAGGTAATAACAATAATAATAATCAAATTAAGGTAGTAATTGGCCACACACACATACTCTCTTCTTCTGTTTTTTTTTTTTTTTTTTTTCTTTTTTAAAGGGGAACCTAATTCGTGTACGGCCTTTTTACGTAGTCCTTCGTGTTTTGGGCCTCAATGCCCAACTCTCAGCTCGGCCCAATTTTTCCCAAAAATTACCCTCTCAGCTAGTGAACTACCTTGGTAGGTTGTTTGTTGTCCACGCCAAGCATTAGTGTAATTATTATTTATTTATTTATTAACTATTATTGTGTTTGATAAAATTTTTGAAACAATTTATAATTTATATTTTATTTTATGAATTTATTTGTATCAGACTGATTGATACTGTTTATACTATGAGGTCAAAATAGTTTAAATAAGGTAAAAATAATAAGGGTAAGTTACACTGACACCCCTTGAGGTTTTTATTTCTTACAGTTTTCTCCTCATATTTGGGAAATTACACTGACCCCCCTATTAATTTGATTTTATGTATGATGATCATTACGGTGAGTGGGAGAACTGTTATGAAACTTTAAACCTCAGGAGACAATCTGTAATGAAACTTTAAATCCCAGGAGGGGGATGTAATTTTCAAAAGGTGAGGGAGGGAACTATAATAAATATAAATCTCAAGGGGTGTCAATGTAATTTACCCAAATAGTAATTATTTAAAAATTTGATAATCACAATTTTTGATTTGTGATTATCAATTCTTTTTCAGAAAATTGCATCAAACATACATGCCCTGTATACAAGTGTGAGCATAAGACTAATGGGCTTAAGTTCGAACCATGCAGTATATATATATATATATGCTAAAATTGAAGTATGAGGGAGAACTGTAAAGAAAACGAAGGAAAAAGTAAAAAAATATCTCTTTCAATCTTTCCTTCATTTTATTTTTTATTTTTTTTTCCCGTAAATTTCTCTTTGGATTTTTTATCCAAATACAGGTTTAACATTGCCTATTTTTTGAGCAAGAAGCATATATATTAAAATCACCTCTCACAATTTAATTAATGTGTTTTTACACTTCCAATATATATAAAAAGAATTTTTTGTAAACTTTTCATGGGGAACAAGTTTTAAATCATTACTCAAACTCAAACCCGCGACCTCTTTCAAGTTTGGGCTTGGTTTGGTCCAGTCTATCATCGGACTGGACCGTGCTGTTGGGCCCGTGGAGGCCCACCACGGGTTTTGTTTTGAAAATCTGAACCGTTTAATGTGTAGAACTTGTCGAGTATTATATATTTGTGAAAAATCACGTTGATCGGATATCAATAGCTATGTGATCAAAACAGTTTTTTATGAACCGTTAATTTATTCACCATCCATTTTTTTATACAAAACTGACTTGATCACATAGCTATCGATATCCAATCAACGTGATTTTTCACAGGCATATAGTATTCGACGAGTTCTATACATTGAAACGGTTTAGATTTTCAAAACGGGACCCGTGGTGGGCCCCTGTGACCAACTGTTATAAATATGCTAAATTTTGTAATATTTGATAAAACTTGAAGGGTCTGGCTTGTGTTATTGGGCCTGTGGGGGCCACCACGGGCTGTGGGGGCCCACCACGGGTCCCGTTTTATCAAATATTACAAAATTTAGCACAAGCCAGACCCTTCAAGTTTTATCAAATATTACAAAATTTAGCATATTTATAACAGTTGGTCACAATCACTTGTTTATTAAATTAGAGAAGGAAAAAATTATCATTATTAGATTTTTAAAGTCTTTTATATTCTAATAATGATATACAAATAAAATATTTGCACAAAATTTTCATATAGAATAACTGACTTCTTATGATCATTTCATTCAAAATAAAAAATCTACTTTTTTGATTCATAATTTCAAACGCCATTGCCATATCAATCTGGATGATTTTTTTTTCATTTTTTTGGTACAAAATTTATGATTGTAAATCATTTTCTTTCACAAATGTCATTTGCACTTCTTTTCTCTCTCTCTTTTTTTTTTTTTTTTTATATAATGAATTTGGTACAATTTCATAAAAAATAAAATAAAAATACCACCAGCGGATTATTTTGATGGTAAATTCTATAATAAAAAGAAAATCAGTATGAAAAGTATTTTCCTATTTATTCACAATCAAGCTGGCTAACTTTGCATGAACCGAAGCATTAACGTCTTTGTTAGAGAGTACCAATCATATATTTATTAACCAATAGGAGTTGGTTCAGTAGATAAAACCTTTGAATGTCTCGCTTAAGGTTTGGGTTCGAGTCTTCATAGCTCCCTATTAAAGGTTAAACATACTCTTTAACGCCTAAAGCACATGAGGGCCTAAGCTTCGGTCCCGACGTAGATGCGGTGCCTGGAGCATGTAGAGGCTTAAGTTTCAGCCTCAACGTAGATGTGGTGGGACTTCCTGCAGATATGTTGTAGATGCTAAGGGACAACACTCTTTAGCGGATATGTTGAAGTAGCCTATCTACATATCCATTTTATGTATATATATTTATTAAGGGTAAATTACAAATATAATATCTGAAATTTGTTGAAAATATGAATTATCCTTTGTAGATTTCGAAATTACATTTCACTACTTTAAATTTTTAATCGCTTTATAAATGACTCTTTTTATTAATAAATTATTAAAT